TGTAAATTTAAAACCAGCTCGCGTTCGGATACGAAAAATTCCAGATGGGAAATTGGCTCGCAGTGCAGATAAAGTAAAAATTTTTTGGGTGTTCACTTCCATTTGCAAATTTGAAAATTTAAACTCGATTTTCACGTACTCCCACGATCTTTATTTAAAATTCAGTTCTTATGCAATTACGATGATGCTGAAATATCCTCTAAAATTTTTGAGAGGATATTCCCTACCAAATTCAACTACGCCTGGTTCTCACATGCGCGCAAATGAAAATTTTGGCAGAAAAATTGCTAACTCAGGAACCAGAATAACTAGGTTATTCTCAATGAACAACCAATCGCGGAAATTATTCACATTCCACCATGCAAAATTTATGGTAATTTACTGTTAATGAGTGTAAAGAAAAAGCCGTTCATAAAGTTAACATCCTGATTGATTCAAAGTTAGTGCAAAAACGTATGGTCGTACCGGCAGGCCTGGTGCGTTGCACCTCAGGTTATTTTACCTTGCTAATTCAAATCCCCTAACTTTTATATTGCACTGTTCAGTGCACCGTACTTTTGGCGGAATAAAGATAAAAACACGAAAGGCGTATAAACACAACAGATCAGCACGTACCTGACTATCAGTGGTCCCTTCGGCATCTTCAAGTCTATCGGTTAGTGCGATCAATTGTACACTAAGATCTGCTCTTTCTCGTTCGATCTGAAATCTCAAAATCTTCGGGCTCACTGCTTAGTTAATCTTCGGATCTACTAAGTTTTTGACATAAATGATAGCGTCTGCCATTGATGTTTTTGCGATATGCTGCTGCAGGCACACAGTGGGACAATATGACCAAACGCACAATTCATTTGAATTTATTTGAACTTTTAGCGCTCCGTTCCATTTTTATATGCATCCCGATCGTATGTGAAGAGTAGACTGTGGTTTTTTTTTCTGCATATTTGTTTTAGTAAAAATTTTTCTGTTAGACCAATTTCCTGACGTTCTCAGTGAAGTTGAACAGTCAAGACAAACGGAAGGACAGGCGTTCCTTATACATATATTTTCTCATCAATATAGTCTTCCGTTACTATAATTTCATACACATATCCTTTCTCGCCATTGACGCATTTGTTTTAGAATCTCTCATCAATAATTTCTCATCATAATGAGTTTTCGCATCAGTCGCTTAACAAAAAAGCGCATAAAATTTCGATGATGCCACTACCCTACCATCAACCAGCTCGTACAGTAATTACCCCCCTGCAAGCAGTCTGAAGGAGGCGCTAGTCCTTAAAAAATTCTGGCAAGACAGAATTAACTCATTACGAATTAAAATTAAGAGATGGTTTTTGCCCAAGGCGTTTTCAAACCCAAAACGCTTGTTCAATAGAAGTGGCACCAAAAACGAAGACAAAACTTTCAGACGATCTCAGTATGAGAACCAAACACATTCGCAAAACGTAATATCTTTGCGAACTGGTATAAGCATTGTCATGAAAACGTTATATGTCAGGTGAGGAATTACTTCGGCCGGTGAAAATTAGGGGCTCTACTACAACGTTATGTTCTCACTGCGATGGAAATACTTAGCTGAATTTATATATGGAGTTAGCGGATGCGAAGAAAGTAGAATACAGAATATTTAACCACCGTGTTGGTAGAAGCTGCCAACTACGGCACTGATGGCAGGTAAAAAGACGGTGATTAAATAATAAATATGTATAGTATGTTTAGGAGTATCGATTGTCTTCAAAAAATCAAAACATATGTTCCGAATTTTGAGCGAAGTAAAATTTTGACTCACTCTGTTTCGAAGCTCACGTTCGGATTCGAGATCTTCTTGTAATAAGCGGATCTTGTCCTGAAAAAAGACGTAAGAATTATGAATGAGATTTAAATTTAGTAGCGTTAAAGCGAATAACTAATTAAGTAGTTTAGCGAGTTACCTAAGTCGAAGTTTACCAGTTATTAAATCTATAATTTAATCATACGATCAACTTATGTTTTTGATCTCGCACATGGACGAGTGAAAGTTAGCGCTGGCAGTTTTGTAACTCCAAGCAGATTAGCTGGGAAACTAAAATTTCGTGAGTTTGGCAGGTATACCCAAAATCAATTTTCAGGTTATCCTGAATGGAAATTGACGTAGATAATTTCTGTTCGGAAAACGCATAACCGAATTGGCAACCTTAGCGCGTGCCTCGAATTATTTTATTCATTCACATAATTCGATTTTGTCATTCAAGATCTTTTATTTCACAAGAACCCTTCAAGAAACAGTGGCTTTGCCTATTCGTGTGATTTCTTCCGATCAGCCCATCTAATCTTCACATAAGAATTACCTTAACAGCACAATTTACGAATTACTTAGTTGAAGGTACTGGGTATCATCTTTGTAATCATAAAAACATAATTGGCTTTGAAACAGATGGAAGACGCGTGCTGCGGATCGCGCTAGGGAATAAAATTCAATGAGCCTGATATTTTGTTCGTCTTGTTGACAACTGGTGTTGGACGTTGCATATCCATTATTGGTATCCACGAGAAAGTAAACGGCCACCCAGGCATCTGGTAGAGTGGTGTTCATATTCAGGCAGACATGGATGGATACTAGGTGAGTACAGATCAGGACAAATAATGTCAGCCACGCCTTGCGTATGAGTACATCTCAGCAGTATCAGGAACATCGGATCTTCCCTTCCCCCTCACTCCGTCCCCCTCCCCTCTCCTCCCCCACCCCCATCTCCTCCTTTTCCTCCCTCCATCATCTTCCTCCCCCACTCCAGCACTGACTTCTTCACAACATCTGTTTCTGGCAGTCAAGACGGTACTGCAGCAAAAATTTTTTATTATGCGTTTTTGCTTGTATGCAAATTGCAAAAAAGCACACTGCAACGATCCTGTCGTTCCAGCCTGGGTTTCAAAATAACGCCATAATATCCTTTGCATTATTTATAAAATATTAATGTGCGTCGTGTTAAGTGCGTAAATTTTTATATGGTGTTTATTTAATAGAAATAAAGCACTAGAACTGCTCGCTGACAAAATACGACAGTGAGACCATATGTTTACCAAAAAGCGAACGTTTACCTCAAGGCGAGTTAAACTGCCCAAATCGGCAACTGACATGCTGCCAAAAGGTGCCGGTCCACCAAATGCGCTCATTGATGGACTTTTGTAAAGCGCAGTTGACGGACTTCGATATAGTGATCCGGACATTGTTGGCTTGTTCAGAACTTTCCTGCAGTTTGGATGAGATTCGCGCCCACAAAAATGAATAGTTATGGCTGCTTTATTTGATCGTTACTTAAATGATTTAAAAAAAAAAA